CTTTAGGACTACACCACTGGTTGTAAGTCCTGTATTTGAGACCTTAATATGGTTAAGTTCACAAAAAGTACAGTTATTGTGGGAGTGACAACTGCATTCTCTAACGTCTAACCAAACTCACACCCATAAATTTTCATGACTGCATTCTCAAAAAAAAACCTGCACTACTTGTACGGAACCGGACTGGACAACTAGTTGTCTGTCACATCTCACAATGTGAGAGAGCTGCTCTGCACTGCACAAACACATCTAACTTACAGTGGTGGAGATGTGACATACTGTCAATGTTGTTCTTCTCCACTGGAGCTGCTCCCTTCAGTTTTGTGTTCTATACATTTGTTGAATCAAATGCTCCGCTGTCCACCCCGATATAAAAGTTGCTGTTGCCATTGCACATTTATTCAGACAGGATTTAAGATGCTGTTATTGTGTGTGTGTTTGTGTATATATATATATATATAAATAGAATTTAGATGTATTTACACAGTTTAATGTAGGCCTATTTCAGAGGGGACATGGATGCATTTAACCTGCAGTCACAGATGAATAAATAATGTTTTGTTTTTAACATAAAACGCTGAATACTGTTATTTGAAATTCTATTAAAACATAAAAAAGTCGAAATGTGAAATTAAAACCGCCAGTAGGTGACAGCAAGTGACTGTTAATGAGTGAGTCATTGAGATTCAACCGATTCATTCAAACGACTGATTAATCCAGAAACAAAGATATAAATATAAAAAGCATACAGAAGCATTTTTGCCGTCTACAATTTAGAATGCCTGGAATTTTGAGTTTTAATAGACTAATAAATCAACGTGCATGCACTCTGTGTGTGATTTGGCTATACACTTGAAAATGTCAGATCGCACATCATTACAACTTACCATATTATCGCAGACGATGCTGTATCGCACACCCCAGACTCGACTTGAGTGGAAAATCATCCGCGGTTGTGCGCGCGCTTGTTTGCATATGAGCAAAGGTGTTTTTAGGAGTCTTAACTTGCAGGCGACAGACCACCGTTGGCTGAAATATAAAAACTCAAGTAAAGTACAGATACTCCCAAAATATACTTAAGTACTGTAACGAATTATTATTACTTCGTTACATTACACCACTGCAAATAAGTATCTAACTTCATAGATACTAAATTTAATAGTTAGACTTAATAAAACACTAGTCACTATTGGTTTAACTACTTGTAATAAAAAAATTAAAAAAAAACTACCAACAGAAAAACTATTTTTAAAGGGCCATGAAACCCCGGAACACATTTTTTTTTTTTAGATGTGAACAGATATGTACAGACTGCATTTCAGTGAAAACACTAATAGTACTCATAAAAGTTATCAATAAGTGGAGATTGCTTTTCAACCCGGAAGAACGAAATTGCTCAGAAAAATGAAAAAATAACCAAAGTCGAGGTTACGTCACGGGATGTGACATAGAGCTGGCCCTCGGAGTGTGTTATAGATAGGCTGCAAGGGCGGGAGAGGGCAGTTTCTACGTCACTCGTTTCGGAGCGCTTTTCTGCATTTATTCATGAGAAAGAACAATTATGATCCAATCACTGAGCTGTATTATGCATAAGGTAATCTTACAGCGGAGAATACAAATCTGATGAACGAGCTTCCGTACTGTCAGTTCATCTCATAAAAAGTAACTAAGTAACGTAATTAGTTACTTTTTTAGGGAGTAACGCAATATTGTAATGCATTACTTTTAAAAGTAACTTTCCCCAACACTGGTAACAACACGTGGAGCGTGCATGAGAGCAGTTTCTGCGCTGAACGCCGCAACGAGTTTAACACACTCGCTGTGCGGATCATAGTTCATATCCGGACCGGAGCAAATGGGTTTCATTCATATTTTATATTCTCTCGTGCTCCAAACATGAACCAGCACCGTATACGTGCACATATGTCTTCAAATGAAATATGCGCGAATAAGGGCGCTGAAACAGCGGTGCATCGAATCATGAACGCGATGACACGATAGTTTGTGATACACAGCAAACAATGATATATAGAGCGAAAATTCAAAGATTAGTAAACAATAAGTGACTGCCTTTATTCTTTCTGTTTTAAAGATATTTTAATATTCATTTGTCTGTATAAGTGTGTTGTAGGTCTGTGTTTTATTGGTTGTTTTCTCCCCTCTTCCCACCCTTCGCACTCCCACTTTTCCACAGCCATTTCTGGAGTATTTTTCAGATCTAAAGTGTGAACGACCGGTGCTGAAATTGGGGTTTCATGACACTTTAAAGAATAAATGTTTAACTGGCTTGCCATACTTCACAGCGTGCGGCTGTTTCCTCAATATATTTTCATTCCCTGGGTTAAGAACCTGTCATTTGCTCGCTTCCAATGCAGTCATTAGCACCTGAAATAATACATGGAAAACATGTTATTCATGCCATGAACACTGCTGCTTAACAATAAGCGTATAAGGCTTCCTAAGCCTGTAAGCTATAGTCTGAATAAATGGTTGCATTTATATCTAGCGTATTTTCATGCCTATATGGATTATAGGTTTTGTTGTCTCAGACAGCCAATGATGCATCAATTTACCCTGTGCTGTAAGGACATTAAAACCTCTACATTTCAAGGTCAAGAAGCTACGACACTGTTGCTCTTTTATCCAGCACATTCAGAGGAAAAGAAATAATCTTTAATTCAGCAGCAGTCAGAAACCATAACTGCAGCTGTGCATGTGATACATGGAAAAATGTAATAAGCTAGTCCTGTCTCAAGGGTGGACTCTGGTTTAAAATAACTTGTTAGAGAATGTCTACCTTCCGTGACTAGGTTGCCTCTACTGACAATTTGTCCTTAAGCACATGAGGAAAACATGTTATTCATGCCATGAACACTGCTGCTTAACAATAAGCGTATAAGGCTTCCTAAGCCTGTAAGCTATAGTCTGAATAAATGGTTGCATTTATATCTAGCGTATTTTCATGCCTATATGGATTATAGGTTTTGTTGTCTCAGACAGCCAATGATGCATCAATTTACCCTGTGCTGTAAGGACATTAAAACCTCTACATTTCAAGGTCAAGAAGCTACGACACTGTTGCTCTTTTATCCAGCACATTCAGAGGAAAAGAAATAATCTTTAATTCAGCAGCAGTCAGAAACCATAACTGCAGCTGTGCATGTGATACATGGGAAAAGTGTAATAAGCTAGTCCTGTCTCAAGGGTGGACTCTGGTTTAAAATAACTTGTTAGAGGATGTCTACCTTCTGTGACTAGGTTGCCTCTACTGACAATTTGTCCTTAAGCACATGAAATATTTCTTGAAGATGAATATATATTCATATATAGTTCCTTCTCTAGACGAAGACTTAAAAAAGCCAACATCACATTTCAACAAAAACCCAATAACCTTTTTCATCATCGTTTGCTTACTCTATTAGCAAATATGCACATTTTGATTAGGGAGAAAAAAAGGCCACATCCAGCAATAAGAGTTTGTACTTTGCCATATAAACACAAGTTGTCAGCGGGGGATCACTTAGTCAACTTACTGCCATGAACTTTCTACATCATGTGAAATATCAACATTAAATTCTCTAATAAAAACCTTAAGTGTCATGACCTTGAGCAAAAAACTCATAATGAACCGTAAGCCCTGCCTTAAGCATATCTATCTTGAAATATTAAAATTCAGTCCCAAGTTCCCAACACAATCAACACTTTCACTGTCTGATACCATTCTTAAATTCTTATTTAATTTAAAAGCACCTTTTTAAAAGGCACTCATTTTATGGAATGACCCATAAATATTAGTAGCACACACCTAGTGTATAGCAATACAAGTCAGCATAAACATCATTACTTTGCAGCATCTCTACACATGCTAACTTTCTGAAATAACCTGTTTTTTCCCCCCATGTTTCCAGCCCAGAAACTGCTCATCTTTAAAATTTCATACTAAAACTAAACTTTGAAAGCTGAATCCCCTGCCATCTGCACCAAAAACAAACGAACAAAAAACCTGCTGAAATTAAGCATTTGAGCAAAGCCCTATCACAATCTGTTCAGCAGGCCCTCTCCTGGCAGAAAGACTCATTACAGCATTAAAGCACCAACATTGAATTTCTCCTCAGGGAAAACTCACTATACCTTTTCCATGATGAAAATGTCACAATGTGCATGTGCAAAAAAAAACAAAAAAAAAACAACTGACCTCACATCCCTCAAACACTCTACTTAGCAACTTGATAATCTTTTATTATTTGCAATGTTTCATCTCCAACGTTTTCCAGTTTGATGTGAAAGCATTTAATTCCTTAAATAATAAAGAGAGCAAAAAAAATATGTACACTTTTTTTTTTTCAATAAAACTAAATCAATGGATCATTGTACGCACCTCTTACCATCTGGAAGAAAACAAATCTTAAATACAGGGAAACTGCCATTTCTGTTGGAAAAAATAAATGGCATTACATCAGATTTTTAAACTTTTAATTTCTGAAAATAAAACAAAAAAACGAAACCCCCCCCCCCCCA